ATATATATATTAAAAGCCCAAGACAAATTTATTGAACAGAAAAGGGTACAGATAGGTTATATGAGTGGACCCAAATAAGCAACCAACCTATACGGTACAACACACACAAAAAGAAAATAAAAAAAAAAACTTAAAACCCAAATGTAGAAGGTACATATAAGTCAACCAGGTCGACACACTTTAATTTTTGTCTCTGTGTTTAATTCTAAGAACCAACTAACAGATTGGTGAGGTGTGTACTATTGCCCGAAGTAGCCAAAGTATCATCCATTAGATTCCTTAGCTCAAGTAGATCACCATTTTTTTTCTTCCTCCTGGAAGTGTAGACCTGTCATTCCTCATCCGAAGATTGTTGGTCATTCGGATGAGGTGGTAGTTGCAGTAGAAAGATTGCCAACAGTTGTGCCCACAAGTGTATGTGAGGAAAGAGTTGTCGAAAGAGTTGTCGCCCCTATCTCTGATACTTCCTGAAGATGGGAAGCTGCAAGGTTCTCCTGATTATCAGTCCGTGTAGGTAGTTGTCCATTATTTTTTTCAATAGGGTTTGAAAGTGTAGGTTGTCCAGCAGGGTCATCCAGCTTCTCATCGATAGCAGAAACAGTATTTTCAGGGGAGAGAGTCCACAGGAGCAATAGAATCAGACACAAAATCCTGTTCTGTTGTAATTTTCTCTCCAGGTGGAGCGGATATATCATTAGATCTATCCTTATTCATTTGATCTTTAGATTTCAAATCAGAATGAAGCTTATGACATTTATCAAGGTTATGGTCAAACATCTTACAATGAGAACAATAAAGACGTATATGATACATGAAGATTTATTGCTAATATCCATTATGCATTGTGCCCAAAAAGACTTCAGTAACATCAGGTAAAGTAATGTCTCTTTCTACAAGTATTCTGACCACAAAAGTTTTGGTAAGGTTGAAAGTGGGTAGATCTAGTTTCATAGGGTCACTAAGTATGCAACCAATAGAGTAAAGAACCTGGTGATGAAAAAAGTACAGCTTGAGACCAGGTAGACTAAACCATACCGGAACAGTAGAAGGTTCATGATTGGGGTTAAAACCAGGAGAACACTTGAGTAGTTTCATTGGTTTGCCAACAATGTTAAGATATTTTTTGGAGAAAATTTGAGTGTAGTCTTCAGGCACGGTTAACTAAATCAAAACATGTCTCCCATCCATGAGCCCCACTTTTCACTTTCCTGTTAATTTGAGGTCATCAAAATTTTTCCTGATAACTTCCATAGGTGGGTGTCCCCACTGAAATTTCTCAATAAGAGCATACTTAAATTTGTCAGTCAGGGTTGAAATTTCTGACTTACAGAAAAAGAGTGTCGTCTTCCCACTTTTCCAGCTTGTATTCTTAATAAAGGGGAAGTCACATGTATAGTCATGATTCTCCTTATAACTTCAGAGGAAGACAACCGTCGTCTCCCCCTAAGAATTACCCACCACGTGGGCAAAAGAAGTTTTGTCGGGTTCAACCGAAGAAGAAAAAAGCTTCATCACAACAAGAGAAGCCCTGCAAGTCGGGCAGAGGGCAAAAAAGACAAGCCTAAGAGGTTGGGGCGAAGTTGCGTAGAAGACCGAGTGCGCAGAGACGAAGTAGGCTCGACAGCCAAACCGCAGCTAAGGCAACACTGCAGCAGGAAGATGAAACCGCAGCAATCCTACTAACCGCAGCTCAACATACACGAGACCGCGGCAAGAAGACGATGAGGCCCTTCGTCGATGGGCGCGAAAGAGAAGAGGACGATCACGAAGGAGATTAACGAGCGCAAAGTCCTTCGTAATTTTCGTCGAATACGAGAACTTCGTTGTCGAGCACGAGAGGGTGGATTGAAGGCCGAATCAAACCAGGGTTTGGTAGAAACCCTAGCAGAGTAGATCTTCGCCGCCGACGCCATTATATTATTATTATTATTATTATTATTATATAATTTAAAAAAAATTGGCCGAAAGCTATTACACGAGCCCCGGTCATCCCCCATATGTTGAAGAATTCGAGTACCACACCCTACACTCGAAGGGAATCGAACCCCAGACCAGAGGGTCGAGCATAGGGTTTCTTTTCATTTTTATGAAACAACTAGATAACTGACAAGCAAATTCCCGACCAACTGATATATTAATTTTTTATATTTTCCTTTTATATATGAGACTTCATTTTTATTTGAAATCAGTGAAAAGTTAGAATTTAATATGTTAAAAGTATATCTTCATATTGCATATATATACATAATAGAAATCATTAAAGTTGAAATTTTAATTGATAAGTTTTTAATACTACAACAAAAAAAAATTTAATGAAAACAAAAATAATAAAATGGTGATAATAAATTAAATATTGAATTAAAAAAGGAAATAAAATATTAATAATAATCAATATGTAGTAAAATCGAGATTAACTCATGTAATGTATATGTATATATTTTAATATGAGAAAAGAAAATGAGAATAAATTTAGAATAATATATTAAATATTGAATTAGAAAAGAAAATAAAATATTAATAATAATCAATATGTAGTAAAATCGAGATTAACTCATGTAATGTATATGTATATATTTTAATATGAGAAAAGAAAATGAGAATAAATTTATAATAGTCTAGTAAATAAAGGAAATAAATAACTTATATAAGCATGTAAGCATTTAATGGTACAATATCTAATTTATTAATTTTGTAATAATACAATGTCAAGAAATAAATTAGATAATTCAAGGGAATGATAGCTTCCATAGTTGAATAAGAAAAAGGATTATTTGAGCTAAATAAAGGGATCAAATTATAGTAAAAGAAAATATATTTATAGATTAATTAATATAGTTATTATAGATGTCAAATTAAAGGAGATGGATTCTAAGAAGCCAAAAGGTGGAAAATCAAATCTTTCGAAGTCAATATGACTAATTATATTTCTAAATTAGAATAATATTTTCTTAGTGTGAAATTTATTGTGCTTAAAAATAAATTTATTTATGATTCAATTTTCTTATTTATCAATATAATGTATCATTAAAATTTAAAGATAATGTTTTGTTTGTGCGTGTATATATATACAGAGAGATGTAAAGAGAGCCATTAAATATGGGATGGATATAATAAACAAAACCAACGAGCAAAAGCATTATCAAACCTCTTCATAAATGCAGAAGGACCTTGAAGATGCTATTTCCTTTGAGTAAGTGTCGGGATCCATAGAACATGAGAACCACTGACAACCAATGGCAGGTACCTGTAATAAAGAAACCATCACTATTGTGGCATATGACTCCAAGCAATTTCAATTGTAAGTTTAAACTTAATGGCACGCATCACAGATTTAACTCAAATATATGTAATATAAAGCATAAAAGGAAGTTGTGCATTAGCAGCAGCATTTTTCAGTATCACATAATCAAATTAAACATGAGAAATGAAATAAAAATATCGAAATCTATAAAATCAAACCTCTATGTTGGATTCATAATATAAAAAAGGAATTAAACTTGTTGAATTTCTATTCCAATGATAACAAAGAATTTAAGGCACATGAATCAAGGCTTTGTACCGTTAAATCAAGGCACACAGATTAATGCTCTGCAACATTAGATTTGTCTCTCCACAACCCTTAAATTATAATCCATTTGTTTTCCTATAGGATTGCTGGCAACTAATTATTTTTCCCTCCCTTTTTTATTTAATCTTATTTTTTTAATGCTTCTGAGAATTGTATATATACATTCCCTCTTGTATAAAGAAGAGAATGAAAATCCTTGAGAGTTTTTCTCATTACTTATTTTCTACATGATATCAGAGTGAGGTCAAGGTAGTCCTTCCAGCCTTAATTCTTATTCTGTAAAGGTAGGGTTTTCACTTTAAACCATTATTCTTATTCTATAAGGTTGAGATATCCAATTCCGACTTTATCGTGTTTGTCAAATTTTCCTTCTTTTCACTATTTATGGGTTCTTTCATTTCCTTTCAAAGGAATCAACCATAATTAATGCAAAAAATTAAATCAAAGAAGAATTCCCTGTATTCCAAGCATATTATCACTTGAATGGACAAAATTACCTTAAATGATCCAAAATTATGAAGACATCTCTAAATGGAAAGAAAAAGATCCAACACATTGTAGAGATATCTCTGAAGCCAAAAGACCTAAAATGTTTACTTTAGAAAGAAATTGATTACATGATCATGATATAGCTGTGGAACACCATGCTGCCAGATATTAGTGGACCTGTTTAGGATTTGGTTAAACAAAACCTACTCAAAGGTGAAAAAATATTGCCCTCATCTATGACATCAAGACATAGTTTGCCACTATCAAACAAGGTAATATTTTTGTCATTGAATACTTTTAACACCATGAAAATTTACTGGTTAGAGATTGTGGGCTCCAAAAATTCGAAATACCCCAACCTCCGTGGAATGAAAAAGTAGAAATGAGGATGAGGGAGTTTAGTTTGAGGTTCTGAGTCAATTTTTCTAAAGGTAGATGAGATATTGATAAAACATTACCTAGAGATTTTGCCCTTATTTTGAAAACATTAAGATCTGGTTCGAAATTTACAATAGGCGCAAGTTTTTATGGTTAATTACCCCTCCCAATAATGGGAAAACACTTTTTATTAATGATAGTCATCAGGAAGTTAATTGTTCAACATCTATTAGCAGCAAATTTTAGTTTTGAAAATACGAAATCATCAGTGTGAGCTTAAGAGTGGATGTTAGGGGAAATGATGAAACACTCAATCAAGATATCATGGTTCCATCGTCTCGGATCGTCGTAGTCCCTAGTTTACTTAGTCAGATGAGGTAATCAACCCAGCCTAACAGAAAGATCCTTATCAACAACTATGGGTTGCTTTGTCTAAGAAAACCCAATAGACCTAGGTTGGATATTTATCTAAGAGGACTAATCTAAATCAACTTTAGCTTATAGAAGGCTTTGTGTCCTCTCAAATATACCCTATAATTCATAACTCAAAGAGCCAATGTTGTGTCGTTTTACAGTGGAGCATACTGGCTAAACCACTTGATGAAGTCTATTGGCCAAATCATTCGGTTAGTGAACTCTGATCGTAACTATTTTTTTTTTGGAGCATACTGGTCAAACTACATAGACAAATGACTCAGAGCATATCCTTGTTGGCACAAAATTATTTTGAGTTTGAATTTAATAGTGTACTTAACATGGCATTGGCTCTTTGTAAGCTTAGGTTAACATTAAATTTGTCCGCCCTAACAAATGATCTGTGGGGGATGTATGAATTTTTTCTCTGTGCTTTTAAATGATAGAATTCATTTAAGCATTTTAACAGATTTTTATGATTTGAAATTTTCATTTCTATAAGTAAACCCCCTCCGGTTGAGATTCACATACAACACGGCAATCATCGAGAAATTGATTGACATGCTTATTTTATAATCTTGATTAGATTTAGTCACTTAAGCATTCAAAAAGAATTAATCATGACAAATATCAATTCTCTTAAGAGAAGGATTGGACTGCAGGTCATTCTTGTCAACTCTAATTACTATGACAATGAGGATCGGGCTGCAGGTCATTCTTGTCAACTCTAATTACTATGACAATGAGGATCGGGACTAGTTAAAGTTGGGACTTACGAAGCTTACCCTATATGCAAGATGACTCGTTTGAGATTATGCATGATTTAACAAATTTTAATTTGACTTTTAAAAAGAATATTTATGTAAAGTTTTTGAAAGACACGTGTTTCTTGAAAGGGATTTGATTTTATCTTAAACATGTAATTAACCCGTGTAGCATTCTCAAACACTTGAGATTTGAAAAATTAAGACAAGTGACGAAGCAAATACTAGTATTTAGGAGTTGTGAATTTTAACTGACTTTTAAAGGATTTTATTGTTATTTGCACGAATGTGGGCATATGTTTCATTTAAATCTTTAGTTTCATCTTTTGTTTGCTAGTGCTGAGGGATTGCAAGTCTGGTGGTGAGTTGTGCAATATAAATTTTGCAAGTATTTCAATATATCAAAATTTTATTCTTATTTAATTAAACAACAAAATACCAAGTTTGGGCTACAAATGTGACTCACTTTATTTTACAACTACTTTAAATTGATTGCTCCGAAATTTTTAAAACTTGAAGTGTTCGATATGTGGTCTAATTCATATTCAAAGATAAGTATTCAAGTCTCATTCATGCTTGTAAGGAAGTGATCCAGTTAGATCCTTACTCGTATGTGAGCTACCAAATTTATTGTGAACTCCCCTTATATTATTTAATTATATGCTAGACTTATGCCGCTTTTAGTATGTGCCCAATTATGGTTCCTTTATTTTGCTCAAGTTAAATTTTGATTCAGTCAAAATTCCTTCAGCATTTAAGCAGCCTCCCAACGTCACCCCAGTGAGGGAGCAACTTCAAGAAACTAGGTCTCGCCACCATGCCAAGAAAGGTATGCATGACCAGTGTCGTGAAACAGCACGACTAAAATCTTTGAAATCCAAAATGCCAAGAAAGGCACGCATAAGGTACCTGCAAGCAAAATTCACATCACATATATTCAAGAAAGGCACGCATAAGGTAAGGTACCTGCAAGCAAAATTCACATCACATATATGTATCTCTGTCATTGAGTTGTGAGCATCACCGAATTTCCCTCGTTTGAGCTACATAAAACCAAGCCATAAACATCTCAATTTTTTAAAAATGAAGCTTTCAATGATTTCAAAACTTCATAAAATAAGGCTTTCAAACTTTTGAGCAGCATAAACCATTACTCCAAAAGGAAAACTAGTTATCTCAAGTACACCTACATCGGCAAAAAATCAGATTCATGTCATAGGCCAGCGAAGAAATATCAAACAAACAAGTGAGAAGGGAACTGTTATGCTGGAGCCCGGTCCGACCGCTCCCCCGATCACGAAACATCGTGATCTTCTACTGTCGCGAAACCACTCCCGCCTCCGCCTGCTCCCGCGCACACAAAGCAAAGCTTCGCTTCGTTTGATCGTGAATAGTTGTGACTCTCTGTTGTTTCGCGAAACGTCGTTTCTCCGCTTCCTGTTCACGATAAAAGGCATCGCACGCACGGTTCTCCTTTAAGTTTTGAAGCACGGTCATTTGTTCTTCTTCGGACTTCCACGCGACAGTGGAAGAACTTCCACGGGAGAGTGAAAGAGAAGTGTAAGAAGTAGATCCTTGCGGCAGAAGGAAGAAGAAAGAAGAAGAATAAGATTATTCTCCCTTAGCTTCTTCTTAGTAGCTTTTGGCAGAAGAGAAATTGGGTCTGTTTCTCTTGTAAGTTTATCTTCTTGGTGTATCTCAGTGTAGAGTTTATTCGGTGTATCTCGATGTAGCGAGAAAAGAACAGAGAGAGAAGAGAGAGCAACAAAGTGAGAGATTCCTCTTGTAAGTCAAGACGATCAACTGGTGTAAATTCCTCAAGTAGTAAAATCCTCTGCAACTCCGTGGAAGTAGGCAATTTGTCGAACCACGTAAATCTGTGTGTTCCGCTGTTTTATTGTTTTATGGTACGAATTTCCTCGTTCTTTTTTCGCCTTCGCCAAAGATCATTCTCCTATTTAATTTATATATATATATCATTAATTGGTGGTATATATCGCAACAGTATATCTCATAACAGGAACAGTCTAGCAAAATACCACAACCAGCAAGAGCATTGAACGACCAAAGGAAAGAAAAAGAGGATTACCTCAACCAAGCCTTACCCAAAGAATTTCCAAGAGACCTCAAGCACACACAATATGAACCGAACAGGGTGAGTCCAACAACAACCCAAAATTTTGGCAGCATCTCCCCCTCTCACCAAAGTTTCAACCCATCGAAACCTCCCCCAAGTGAGGTTCTTATAGCCGAGGAAGGGAGGAGAAACTTACCTCAGCTTACCTAGGCGTGAGGCGTAGCCGACGGTGACGTATAAGGTGGCAACAAACGACGAAGGGCAGGTGGCGACAGCGGTAGGAGTGGAGGCAGAGGATGCAAGGAGCGTGGCGACAGGAACAAGCTTTAGCTAGGGGTTAAAGTACGGAGGAGGGGGGCCCTCGAGCCGAAGCATCGCGAGGCAGAGGAATTTGTTCGGCTAGGGTTGCGCGAATAGGGGGAGAGACGAGCCCGGGAAGGGGAATCACACGCATGAGAGGGGGAGAGAGAAATGTGTCGCAGCTAGGGTCGAATGGAGAAGAGCACGCACGAGAGTGGGAGAAATGTGTCGCAGCTAGGGTCGAATGGAGAAGAATCGAGGAGGGAGAGGCGTGAGCGTGGGTTTGTATGTGTGAGTTAGGGATTTAAAGGTATTTTTCTTTTTTATTTCATTTTTTCGCTGATTTGAGCACAATTTGATCCCATTCGGAATCATATCAAAATCGATGTCCTTCCTGACTAAAATCAATGTTCCGAACGCGTCGGCGCGGTCCATTTCTTCATACGGGATCGTTCGGACGACTTCAACGACGATTGGATCAAAAATATGTCTTATTCAGTTTTTTCTTAAAATTTTAGTTTATAATCGATCATTTCAAAATTTTATTTATGTTTAGATTAATTATGAAGCATATAAAGACGCAGATGGTGTGAATTGTGGCATTTATGTGTGTGCGAGTGTGCAAATTGTAAATAAGGCAACTTTAGGGCTTAACGGTCCTATGGGGACTAAATTTGAGTTCCCTCATGTTGGTTCTAACCTCCTAAGTGCTAGAGGTGAAGAATCACACATGCGAAACTCCAAAAAGATTAAAGAAATAGTTTGGATTTATAAAATGAGGTGGGTCCCATTACTAAAACTCTATGATAGCCGAAATCGTCGAAGAGAGAATCCTAAGGCTAACCATAAACCCTAAGAAGAAAATTATACCTCGTCAAAAATGAGATCAACAGTTAGTTAAGAAAGAGTGAATCTCGGTGGTGGGAGAACTTGAAGATTCTTCAACAACAAAAAGGGAGGAGTAAAGTTATTATCTTGCTTAAGACAAAATAAAAATATTTCAATCTTTAAAAGTGATAATAATGTAATTTTTTATGTGATATTAAAGATGTGAGAGGAATGTGAGTGATGTGGGGGCTAGGGTTAAACCGGCTCAACTGATTCAACAAAAATGTGGCCGGTCCAACAGGGAGGCCGCTTAGGGTTGAGGGCCCTCCCCCCCCCCCCTCCTCCCTCCCCCTCCTAGTAATTTCTATTATAAATAAGTAGTTTTGTTGTTTAGGGTGTAGCTTTTTTTGTTGTTTTTAGATTTCTCGTCGTTGGCATGGTTCCCCCTAGTGATGTCAATTCAGGTCAACAGGTCGGGTTCGGGTTTGACCTGTCATTGAACTTCTACATAGTTCTCAAATATTGGGTGTTACCCCTACTGCAACCAGTCCTCCCTACACCCTCCCTATTGTCACCAACCTTCCAAACCAACCCCATCTACTTCAGTCACCCTCCTAGCAGCCCGACCTGCAGTCACTCCCCTTTCTGCACCCTTACTTATTGTCGCAAGCTTGCAAACCACCCCCACACCTACTGTCCAGCCGAGGTTTATCGCCTTCACCCGCGCCCTAGAGGCTCGTTTGTATTTTGTGTTATTTTATTTCCAATTTTAAGAAACTTTATTGTGATTCCTTTAAATTTTCAGAAATAACATTCGTGTTCGATTGTTTTCGAGTTAACTCTGGTGTCAATGTGTAAATATGAGTATATGTGTGAAATATGTAAATACATAAGAATTGTGTGCTATGTATATAAAATTCCCTTTAAAAAAAGACTTGGAAAAGTAATTCAAAATTTTAATCCTACACAATTCATCATAAACAAAGTACGTGAACAAAATGTCAACATTATGTGGAACCAAGAAAGCGCCAAAAGATATAACAATTCCAAAAAGCGTAAATAGCAAAATCGTGGATTACCTTGGGAAAATTTATTCCATAAGTTATATAAAGCTTCGAAGAAGGGAATGCAATAATGAAAGAATCACCCCTGCAAACATATTGTGGACCATAGAGAAAGGGTGCCATTTTCTCATTGGTATTGCCATTAAAATCAGTTGCTTCACACATGCCAGCATGTACTATTGCCTCCACCCAATGTTTAGCTGATCCATCTAAAAAAGGAACCTATGAACGTAAATCATGTGTTTACATGTACATGACAGACTCAAAATAATCAAACAAAAAATGTAAAGCATCGTGATAAACAAGGATAGGTCTGATAGGTATAATTCGTATTTAGGTGAATGAAACTAAAGAATAACATAATTTCCATCTGAATGGGCTATTTGCTCTTCATTCTTAGAAAGACTTAAGTGACGTTTAACCGCTTAACCATGAATAGAAGAAAGATAGGGAGACAGGGTGAGTGGGAACACATAATCACAAGTTCCAATGGCTAAAAAGTTACAAAAATTCGATTTAAGTTATAGATTTATGCTAAAATTATTCTAATTCAGGCTGAACAATCTTAAGAAAATAAGAAAATTAAATCAAAAACAGATGAGTATCTTGTTAACCAATTTCTGTTTATCATTAAAAAAAAAGTGTCTCCCCATATTACTGTATTTTATAGTTGAAGAAATATTTGTATTTACAATAAAATAGAAACAATGGTTCTAGAATTAAAAAAAAAATCCAGATCCAAGAGTACTTCAGACCAAATGAATAAGTATATCCAAGTGAGAAGGTCTAGGAGGACGGAATCTAGAACTTATATCTTGTTACTATTATATTTTTTTTTTAGATTTAAGATTGACTATGCATCTACACCAATTAATACAAACTTAAAATGAGATGTACAAATACAATACATAATAGATTCTCAACTTTCAATTAAAGCAAAGATTAGTCACCTTGATGGAAAAAAATGCAAAACATACTTTATTCATTCCAATTAATAATTTGTAAGTTGTTAAAATCTAAAAGATTGAAAGTAAACTGAAAACTAATATAAAGATATACATCTTATGAAATCATACCAGCAAAAGGAAACTATCATGGATCAAACTCGACAAAATCTCAATCAAGCAAATAAATTACAAACTAATCACTAAAAGTTCTAAAAGAAAAAACAACGATAAACTAACTAATTAGAAGATCCAAACCTTATGTCAATGAAGAAGAATCTTCTGCTTGAAGTTTTCGCCAAAACTTACAAAGTTTTTAAATAACCTACTTCCAATACCATATATAAGAATCAAGAGGAGACAGAATTTAATTGCACAATTCAATACTTCAACGATGTTTACATGTCTCATAGGTCCTTTTTAAAACCCAAAATAAGAAATTTCTCATAATCCCGCATGATCTAACCTAATACTACAAGTTTCAATTCAACAAATTTGAATTATAAAAAGAATAACAAATTCGCAACCTTAGTTTTAACAAAAATAATAATAATTTTCCAACTTAATCTTCTCGTGCCAACAAACCTCATATTTCTAGCTATATTAGAACGAGGAGAAAAGATAAAATAGCCGCATATAAATACAACGACATAAAAAGAAAGATTGTATATAGAAACCACAGAGCACATCCACAAGTTTGTAAAATAAAGGATTTTAAAGGGAGGCCACTAAGCACAGCTACAAGTCTACCGAAGGAGAATTGCCAAACAATACTACTACATCACCCGCAAAGAGAAATATGGAAGAAGATAAATAGACATACAACACTAGTAATAATTAAAGAAAAGAAGCCCACATGTGAGGTTCCTATAACAAGAACCCATTAAGTAATGCTAGAAATTAGTGGAATTAGAGGCCGCAGATCAAGTAATTCCTTATTACAATAATTCAACATTAATATGAAATTTTCACCTCTGACAGATTAAGCTCTTAATATTTGAAAGCAAAGTATGGATGGTGCTTCTTATAGGATAATAAATGAACCAATATGAATAAGCTTGCCACGCCAATGCACAAGAAAAAGTGAAATTCACAAATACTGGCGGATCCAATTCTTACATATAAAATAGTTTCTGAAACAAGATGAGTATATATCCATCGAGTGAGGTGAATAGCAAGATGGGGAAAGATAAGAATCCATAAAATTGATAACAGGCTTACGAAATAAAGCCAAATAAAATACACTGAGGTCTAAAATAAAACCAAAGCTTGCCAAAATTTTTATTAGTGCATATCATTGCACATTTGTTTTATATGACCTCGTTATCCTTACAGTTAATTTCTTAAAAATCTCCATAGGAAGCTTTTTAATATTCAGACAAATCATTATATAATTTATTTAAATTTTGCAAGTCTCTTGTTCACGACCATAATATTATTATAATTATCGTAATCAACATTGAATTTTCTGCAAATCAATTCATACAAATAAAACAATCTATAAAAATCATGAAAATGATATGTAGCAAGAAATGAAATCATTAAAATGCCAGCATACATCACAATCAATACAAATAATGATTTATAACATATTCCTAGATGGTGACTTGATAAAAAAATTTGGAATAGACAAACCACACAAATATAATATATCCATATAAATATGGATGGATAATCTTATTAAAAAAAAAAACTAAATAGCTTAAAAGCATTAACGGTGTTGAATTATGAACATATAGATTTCTACAAATTTATAGGATTTTAAAATCGAGTTTCTCTTAAAAAACTCCTTATTAACAATTTGATAGAAACTTTACCTTCTCACTAAGAATCTAATGATGGATGTGTAAATCAAGTAACAAAAAATAAAAATCAAGTAACTAAAATGTGTAAATCAAGTAACAAAAAAGAAAAATCAAGTAACAAAAAATAAAAATCAAGTAACTAAAAATAAAATCAACCTCAATTTGATTTGTAGAAATGGCATGGCTAAGATTTCTATGAAGTAAAACAACTAGTTCAATCGACTCATAATCTTCAAAATGCACAATTTGTTTATGATTACATTCAGGAATAAGTTTGATCAATTGACACTTTCAACTACAACAGGCATAATTTCATATGGAAGCTCAAATTCTCCATTAAGATTAAGTTTTGAATATATCTGCAATCTGGGTTCAATTATTATATTAGTTTTATATTTAGAACTAAGTGAAATTTCAATATGTGACTTAGATTAAGTATTAATCCAATATGCAAACTTTATTTCAAGTACAAATTTCAGCTCCTATTTAGTTATAGATTTATTTTCATTTTCAAGTGGGAACTGAATTCTCCTTATAGATGCTCGTGTTAAAATATGTTTTCAAGCTTAATGTAGAATAATAATTTAATTCAAATGTGCTATTATGTTCATACTCAAGTGTTGACTCTTGTTCAAGTATAAGCTCATGTTCATAATCATATTCTAACATAGGTACAAATATATATGTATATGTATATATATATATATATGTGTGTGTGCGCGCGCGCGCGCGCGCGTGTGGCTACATATATTTATTTTTTTTTATTTTTTTTTCAAAAGAGTGGTATTTGGAAATACAGCTCCCCATATGTAATAGCCGTCCCCGTAGGGATCAAACCCGGGACAAAGGGGGATTACGACTGACAACGCAGCTGCCTATCAACGTGTCATGGAGGCAATGGCTTGAAATTATGGGTATATCGTGGAGGCAGTGACCCGAAAAAGTGGGTGTGTCGTAGAAGCAATAGCCCAAATGATATGTGTCGCGGAGACAGTGGCTCGAATGATGGGTATGTTATGGAGGTAGTGACCCAAAAGAGTGAGCATATCATTGAGGCTGCGGCCCAAAGAAATAGGTGTATCGTAGAGGCAATGACCCGAAAAAGTAGTTGTTTCATGGAGGCAATGACCCAAAAGATAGGTGTCGTAGAGACAGGAATAGTGTCGTGTTGGCAGTGACCCGAAAGAACAGGTGTCGTGGAGTTAGTGACCCAAAAGGACGACATACCGTCGAGGTAATAGCCCAAAAGGTTGGGCGTGTTGCGGAGGCAGTGGTACAAAGGATGGGTATGTTGTGAAGGCAGCGACCCGAAAGGGTGTGCGTACCATAGAAGCAGCGGCCCAAAGGAATGTGTTTGCGACGGTCCGGAGCAGTGTTATAGGAAAGTATGGTAATTCCAGCTAGAGGAAATTACACAAGAAATTGACTCGGTGACGAGCCACCCATTCACATAAAGTGGGGTGAGTGTGTGAGAAACACAAATCCGAGTGCAAACAAAATCAAGCAAGCGAGTCATGAACATGCAAAATGTCATCTAAGACAAACACGCAGAAATGCTCAAGTGTAAGTGTGAATCACTTACGACGTGGTACTAAGTGACATGAAGATGTCACAAAGCAAATACGAAGTAATGTGTCGTTCAGAAGCACAAATACTCGTCGTGAGCGTATAAGGGAATATGCTTAGAGACGCACGACAAAGATGTAAGTGATGAATGTGATAGTGCAGAGTCATGCAATCAATATCAATGCACATGTAAAACACAAACTACGCAAGTAGAATTGGTTGTTCAACCTGTTGGGTCGGCCAGGGTGATCAAGCCAGGCCAACGTAGCCAACGAGCTCAATCAAGCTAAGGCGGTCGACTGTACTGCAGAGATTGGTCGACCAAGCCGGAACGGCCGATCAGACCAAAGTGGTCGATCGATCGAGTCAGAGGAGACCGATCAAACCAAAGTGGTCGGTTGGTCAACCGAGTCAGAACAACCGGTAGGACCAAAGTGTCGATTGACTAGGCTGAGGTGGTCGGTCAGACCAAAGTGAAATGCCGACAAGGTCGGGGCAGTTAGTCAAGGCAAAGTGTGATGTCGACCGGGTCGGGGCGGCCGGTCAAGGCATAGTGTAATGTGTGAAATGTAACATGATATGATGCAAGTGATCAAAAACAATAACAAGTCATACTCATGTTGACGATCTCACATAGGCACCTAAGGTTTTAGCTCTTGAATTTGCGGCTATGCCGCCTCTAACTTTAGTGAGGAAATGTGAAAACTTCGCCCTCCGATTTCCGTAGTAGAAGTCCTTCACCATTGATATGGCGGGTTAACTACAAAGTTTTTTCAGTCCTACAAAACTCCCATGATCTTGTAGAATGGGATAGCTACAAAGCTTTTCTCATTCTTCAAGATCAAACTATTCCAACCCCTCCCAAAAATGTTGGAAGCGCCGAATTCGTGGAAAAATTAGGATTATGACACTCTTAGGTGTGGATCTAAAGCTTATCACGGAAGACCACTCGGCTTTGCAAGAGATGTGTCCAACAAAAGCTTCCTAACCTAAGGCTTCCTCTAGGAAATCAACGGCCAATTCAAAGGCATGTAGTCGTGTCAACTAGTGTCGGCCAACCAACTCGCCTTGTGTGAGCGACCGAACTCACAACATTTAACCAAAATCTAATCCTAGAGTTGGCTAAGAAGGAAAACGCAAGGGTTGAGGAGGTTATGCAGTTTGGTGGTTGATCGACGTCTAGTCGTTGCTCGGGCATAAGCTCTCTTCATCACGAAGAGATTCCGGCGAAGAAGGAAAACGCAAGGGTTGAGGAGGTTATACAGTCTGGTGGTTGATCGACGTCTAGTCGTTGCTCAGGCATAAGCTCTCTTCATCACGAAGAGATTCCGGCGACGCTCTAAGTATCGGCCTCCCCTCCCCACGAGTGATGAAACTCTCCTCGTAAGGAGTTTTTCGGTGCCAGCGCAACACCACGCTTTGCTCTTCCTCTCAGTTTTCTCGGACCGAGAAAGAAAACACGAGAGGAAGACGACAGAAACGGAGAAGAGGAAGAAGAAGAAGGGCGAAGAAGCTCTCTGAGAACTCTCTAAAACTCTTCCCCAACCTTTGTGATCACTCTCAACTCTCCCAAGTGAAATATGCGCTCTTCCCTAAGATCTCCCCTAGCACGAAGAATATTCACAGAGGTTCGAATGACCACTTGCCTCTTTTGGCAAGGGCCCAAGTTAGCTCAGAAGCCATTTTCAACTTAGGACCTGTTCAACGGCTTATCCCGCCAGTTGGAAGGCGACCGGACAGAAAAACAGAGAATCAGCAATGAAACAGGTTGATTGTGTGTGGCGTGGCCACGTGCCACACCACAAATAGGGCGTGGCCATTCTTGGGCGTGGTCACGACCCAATGTGTGGGCGTAGTCACGCCGGGTAATTTCCTGTTTTCGAAATGCAGACCACGTGCAAGACTTGGAAGGCCCTCCCTAAGCGAAAACAATGTTCCGGACGCATTCGGATTGTTTGTTCTACAATTTAGAGACATCAAAATGATAATTCCTCACTAGTAAGCAAATTTAGGGCATGATTTGTTTGCGTTACGCCAAACAGCACTCCCCTGGTCGAGACCATCTCATCAACGTAATGTCGGTCGGCTCTCGCCTCATTGACAACCAAAGCCTGGCAAAAAAATATTGGCCACATGTCAGAGGGCCGAAGACGGATGTCTTGGGCCTTAGGGGAGTCATGTGTGCATGAAGCATATCCTAAAGTTATTCGAGCAGACATACTATACACGTGACATTAAAAATTGATGCCGACAACTTTACTTTGATTTATTGGATTCTAACAAAAAATGATAATATCAATAATATAAACTATAGCCTAATACAAGTTTTTCCTTTAATATTACCTCATCAGTGAAAAAAATGATGTTCAAACTTCCTCGGTTAAAATATTACAGCAAAGAAAAAAGAATCCCATTATAAAAACACAATTGTCATAACTGAATTATTATAGTTTGTGGGATAGCTTATTTACATTTAGAAGAACTTTTGTGTTCGTCTTATCAATAGCGATAATTTTCTTAATATGTGAATATTTTTCAATTGAAAATACAAGTTTTTTGGCAACACGATCATCAAACTAGCCTTATCCCACTTTTTTTAGAGGCTTTATAGTAGAGGCTTTATAGATCTTCATTCTCTATTTTTTACTTGAGTGTTGCATAAAGGTCGTACCATTGTCTCCACGATTATTTTGACATTTGTTATCCATTTTACCTTTGACAGAGGCTTTATAGATCATCATCCTCTATTTTTTACTCGAGTGCTGCATAAAGGTCGTACCATTGTCTCCACAATTATTTTGACATTTGTTATCCATTTTACCTTTGACCTCCCCATTTTACATCCTAATCCTACAACAAGAAGTCATCTAAACGTTTTATTCGGCATATTCTACCATTCTTTATGCATAATCTAACCACCTAAGCCAATTTTTCACTATGTTTTCTATAGTAAATGATACCACCACCACCCATCTAATATAATCATTTATCAATCAATATTTACTAATTTTTCCATATAACCATCTAAAAATTCTCATTTTTTATAAATTAAATTTTACTATACATGACTTTCATCTTCATGACAGTCTCAAATTCAAAATACTCCTGATGAATTCTCCCATTTATGTGTGTGTGTCTATACCACGCTTTGTGCCCCACCTATTTGTAAGAGGCTTTCCACCTTACCTCAATTACTGAAATATTTGAGATGTCCCTATGATTTTGGCAAAAAAAATCCTAGCATAAAAGCAATTTGATTCTCTGATACAAAAATAGGCAGCCCTTCATTCACAACAATCATCTAAGAGCTATTCATTAGAACAACAAAATTTTATTGAAAAATAAAAGGATTCATATCTTCTACATTTACAACAGTTATCAAAACGATAAAGGCAGAAATCCTGGCCACTCAATCCACTTCAATTGGTTGAGATTATTTTATTCAAACCATAATGGTTTTGAAAAATTGTGGAATTAATCCGAAACATCCAAAGTGCATGGCATGACTAGGATTGCTAAATTTTTATCTTATTATCATGATTATTGGAGAAGATCAAAATTCAAAAAAAAGGGAGCACAATAGAACTTCCCCCAATAATGATCCTATCAATGCTTTATAAAAAAGTTAACACCAAAATTAAAGCAATGACCAAAGTTCCTTGAGTGCTCTATTCAAATACTCACCAAAAATTAAAACAAATCACTACAATTTAAGGGAACAGTTGGAGTTAGTAATATTTCAAGAAAAAATATGAAGGAAAACCACTACAATCAAACATATAATAGTTTTTCACTTAAGGAACTGTTCCTGAAAAAAAAATACATATGTGGAACATAAATGGATCCAAAGGACTATTATCTGGTTTCCATTCAATCAAGATGATCAAGTAGTCTACTTATCTTCTTAGTTTGGTCTAGCTAAACAAGATAACCTCACTCCCTCGTCTCCGCCTCTAAAAAATGTTAAATCTAAAATCTCTGCTGCTCATAAATTTAACCCTTTCAAGGTCTAAATAGAGGTAACAACATGCTACTTACAGCACAGAACAGCGAAACAAATACAAAATAAATGATTCAATGATCACACTTCACAATAGAGCATGCATTACCTCTTCGCCCCCTTCAATCTCGATCCTGCAGTTATCCACCCCGCAAACCTCTAAAGCCGAGAGGAGGTGCTCGACCGTCCGCACCATAGCTCCACCGTAACACAGCGTGGTGCAGAGCGGCGAGTTCACCGCATGTTCGATTGTTGCGGGGATTCTTGATCGTCCCAAAGAGAGTACAAAGTATCTCCCCTCTCCGGCCATGGCAGGAAGCAGCCGGGCCGTCGTTGCGGCGCCAGAGTGGAGTCCAATCCCCGATCGCCTCACCTCGGCTGCTATGGTTTGCTGCCGCTTCCCTGTCTGCAAACAAAGAGCCGACGTGACAATTACTGATATCAGACTAGAAGAGAGCTGTGGGAAACAGGACATGGAAGTTTGGATTACCGGCTTCCATGAGATGTGAGGGGATGATCTTTGGAGCGCTCTGCAACCTCCGGCAATGCGCGACAAATGCATATGGTATGCTTACGGGCGAGAAAGCCTTCGTACGGCCGTCAGCGACGTCACTCTTCTTCTTAGAAACATTTTTGTTCAGCCTTTGAAACACAATTATAGGAAAAAATATTACATCAGTACTAATAATGCGTAGCCAATGAAATAACACCACGACATCTTACGTGATAGAAAAAAAAACAGCGCAATAACATGAAGAATATTCCACTCTGTGTTATTCATGTGTTATTGTGTATTATTCATATATTACATCGGTACTACTCATATAGAGTAATATGCGTAGTCAATGAAATAACGTCACGACATCCTACGTGACAGAGAAAAAAAATGGCGCAGTAACACGAAGAATATTCCCCTCCGTGCTATTCATGTGTTATTGGGTATTTATGAATGTTTCATCTACAAAATATGATAGTTTCATTTTCTATCTAAAATTTCCCTATCCAAAAGTATTCATTCTGAATAGGGGTGAAATCAAGTCAAATTTGAGAGAGCCAACCTAAACTAGAAATTGAGATTTTATATTTTGGTTTATGACGAATTCAAGATAAAAATTACGCGACTATTTTAAAATAGAATTTACAATTAGGGAGTTTGTGAAATTAAATCAAATGATTAAATAAAAATTGTCTTTTTAGATGAGATTGCTCAATTCTCGTGTGACACTAAATTAGGGTTTGAGCAAAAGCTCCCAACATTAAATCTAAAATTTGATAGTTGTTTGAGTCAAATCTGAGTTCAAAAAAAAAAAGATCAAATTAAAGTCATCGTTTAGGCTAACCTAAGCCAAAATGTTAAAATTAATACCTAAATTTCTAAGAAGATTATGCGTCTCTCTCTCTCTCTCTCTCTCTCTCTCTCTCTCTATATATATATATATATGTGTGTCTAATATCTAAATTTTAATTTTGACTCAATTACACGCTTAACACCCAAAACATTGTTATTTACAAATATATCATTCTCTTCATTCATTTTTCAAACTCACTCAAATATTAATAAAACCCTAACTAATATTTTTCATTTTTATCACTCTCCGCAGTTTGATTGCACTTAAATACATTGGTAGGATAGTTAAAAAATGTCTCATAAGTGTTTATATTTTATAAATAACAATGTTTCGATTGTTATGTATGTTTAAAACCCAAATTTTTTTATGGTGCATTTACGAGTGCACGGTATAGTTTTGTATCAGCCACCCAATATGTTACATCTCACAATTGTCTCGTGATCTTTCGAATATTGGAGAGCATATATCATGTGACTTATTGATCGCCCCACTTCCAATAGACCTAAATTTGTAATGACACTGACTTGTTTACTTTAGAAGTGGGAGAAATCACTATTTAAAAAAAAATAAAAGTTCATCATGTATTGAAATCTTTTTAAATTATATCTTATACAAGTTTAGTGTCCCTCGTTGAATTATAACTAATATCATGAAAACAAAAACACAAATCAGATTTGTATCTAGCTCAAATAAAAGAAGCAATGGCAGTCTCGTGTGGAAGTGTGAGAAAAATGGCGGTGTTGCATTCGTGAGAACAATGTGAACGTGTGACACATGTGGCGAAGTGAACATGCGGTCCCCAACTAAACCAAATGAAGAAAGTTTCAAGATAGGCGAACGTCACATGGGGTTTTGGACAACTGAAACTCGACAATTATGACATATGATTGAGTAGATTGAATGACTAACGTGTGATGGCGACATTCAATGACTAACAACAAATAAAAAAAGACTTATGGATAGGCTTTCTTTAATTAAATAAATTGTTATGTTAATCTAAATTTCTTTAATTGTTAATATTAAAATGTCATTGAATAATGTTATAATTCGGTAGCTAAAAAGCATATGAATAAAAGTTCTTGAACGAATTGTTGAGTTCTTAAGAAGTGAATGAAAGAAATCAAGTTGATTCTTTTAATTCGTAACGCTTTTTTTATATAAATATTTACACTTAAAAATACAAGTTTTATAGCCTTGATTAGATAATAATAATAATGGATTCATAAATGTATTTTATGAACTCAATGGCCCTGAAATATTCCCCTACTCTTCTTTTGCTTTGTGAAGGGTAACGACCCTTTTTTTATACAATGGAGAATGAGGTGCAAGAGTTGCATAACAAGTACTTTCTTCATAACAATGTTACTCTTCATAAGTTTTCGGGATAGGCTCAAACAACTGAAGTCGTGGGCAAGGATCTGGTCTTTTACCGAGACCAGTTCAAATAAGACCTTTAGTTATCATTGTGTGACGAAATCTAAAGTGTTTTTAACAAATATGGGGTTATTTTGATGCAAATACTGTCAAATGCGATCACCGTCATAATGACCTTTGTCGTCAAGAGCCTATCTCGTGGTCAATATACATTTTTTAAGCATTTTTTTTTTCTTGTGTGAGGTTTATAAGAAGGGTTTTGCTATATTTTAACGGGCAAGGAACTCCACTTGCTAGGAGTGGAGAACAATATACCTTCTTAAGCATTTTTTTTCTTGTTTAAGGTCCATAAGAAGGGTTTTGCTATATTTCAACGGGCAAGGAACTCCACTTGCTAGGAGTGGAGAATAAAATAAAAGATTAGAGAAAAAAGTTTTTTGTTGGCTCTTTGCACTGGTGTTTGGGAGATTTAGATCGAGTATTTAGAGTGGGTGGTGTCCCGGTCAAAGTCTCTTCTGGATAGCATAAAAATCGGCAAGGCGATGTTGATTGGTTGCCACCTCTTGGTCCAACATTACACCACCGAGGCAAATGTTACCCGTTTACTGGTGGGTGAGATGACCAAGGAGTAGAGAAGCCATTCAGACATCGATGAGGCGGTCTGAGCAAAGGAAGCTTGTCGCTAAACAACTGAAACAGAAGCATCCTGCAGCACTAAGTAACTTCATAGAAGATGAGGATCTGCTTTCTTACAGTGCGGCCTTGAGGCATATCTTCTCCGCGTTTGAGACTACTATTATCATGTTTTAGTTTTTTTTATGTTTTTTATTTTTAAATGAGTCGTCACCTTGTCTATCGTCGTATAATTCTCATTTCCAAATAAGTCTCCTCCGGATCTTATAGATGATCTGGAGAATAGAGAATTAAAAAATATAAGGATATACAATGAAGGAGAAACAAGAGAAATAATGTGAAGAGTTTATGTGCAATAAACCTCGTGTGATATGTCAAGAGTGTACGTCCAAACATGATCGGACATAAAACACTTTGAACTGAATATCTACAAAAGAGTATCTGCATAAGCTGCCCAAACCAGAGAACATAATTTTTAAATTTGTCACAAAGTTAAGAGTGCTCCCAAAGGGATTATCCCATTTGATTAAATACATCTTAGGAATTTCCCAAGAATGTTTTTAATCAGAGAAGTTCTACTTGCACTTGAGTGGTGACTAGCAAGGATGTCGCAAAAAAAGGTTGTCTTATAAGAGACATCCCGACGCTTTCTGAGCTCTCGCTAAGCCACAAGGTAGATGATAGGTTCCTCACATTCTCAAATGGGTAGCTGCTCATAGGAAATTGAGACTCATGAAACAACCAAGTCATTTGGTAGGAAACAACATACCACTTCAAGGCCAAACTAGGTTGCAATTGCATGGGACAAATTGTTGTATTTCAAACGTGCAACGACCTGTCAACCGTGTGAAACCCACCAAATGTCATCGATTAAAATGTCAAAGGAAAACATTAGTAAGCAAAGGAAATGAGGAGTGATTCTGATAAGGTAGGGATAGCTGGCTCAAGCCACCATGGATTATTCATCCAAAGTTATTCAGACCCTATGTCTACCTGATTGAGAAGGTTGTCCACCCAACTCGACCGGAAGCTATTTTGTCAGCAATTCATGAACTGCATTGTCCAAAGGAACCTTGGTAGTCAAAAGAAATAGACTCTGCTCCTATATCATAGAGGTTATATTTTGTATGTACGAGACTTACGCTTGCCAAACATAGGTAATAATCTGCCTCTAAGAGAGGAAAGAGAGGCCAAACTTATCAACCCATAGCACTCTCAAAAAGGTTGTTATACCTCATATGAGATGGGAAGTCTTCTAGCAACCCCAGCATTTTAAACAACCCACAGACCAATAAAAGGCTTCTTAAATCCAACCCCAATGCCTCCACTTTTGTCTTATAAATCCCTCCTCGACATAATTTATTTACTTCAATACCATACAACGATCATAATTATGAATGATACTCCTGAGCTTAATCGAGCTATTGAAATCTTTTCGCAACCTTTGCACCAACTCCAAAGAGATCGACTTGCTTCTCAAACTTCAATGTTTTGCTCTCCTCCTTAAGTGCAAGCATCTTTGATTTTAGAGCCTTAAAGCTCTTGGTATTCTTTCTAAGGGTAATCCACAACTTCATCAGCTCCTTCGAGCACTCCCTAGATCCCAATGCTATAAAGAGAGGTAATTCAGCATTGTAGACATCTTTGTTCTGCATTTTGTTAGTTGATTCTCTAAGGTCTTAACTTCTTGAACTTTAAGAGCATATATATATATATATATATATGCGCTTATACTCACACTTATACTCACACTAGAGGAATTTTATATTTATCATTTCAAATTTCCACATTGCAAAGGAAAGATTGATACCCCCTTCAAGTTTCATATTTTTCATCATCAGAAATAAATAATTTTATATCATATGGATGAAGTGAACACATAATAGATGAGATTGACATATGAAAAAATGAATTACATATTCTTCAGTCAAATGGTGCCTATTGCATTAATAATTTATTTAGTACACACTCGAATACAAATATTGGAAGGACTTGTTGAGGAATTTTGTACCCTAGCACCCCCTTATTATGCTTTAAAGGAACAATCTCACAAACATTATCCTGTAATGATTGCTTCAAAAGTGCAATGAGATCTGGTTCAGAGCACTTCTGCTTATATTTATTTCACATCATAGCAAAATATCATCTAGGATGGATGAAAATGGCCATTGAAAAAAATCATCGCTTTAAGAACCTCGTGATGTACATTGTCTCTAACTAGTTTTGATATCATTGGGACTGTCCCATCTAGCCGGTCAGTTTGACTATAAGTTTGCTGAAATCAGAGCTTTGAATGACTCTTAATTAAAGTTTGAATGTTTCTTACTCAAAATATTGCTTGGAGATTCATGTCATGCCTCTAGTTTTATTCAAGATGATGAAATTTGTTGGTGGAGTGTCACAAATGTTACCAAAATTGGTCAAATTCGAGTCCAATCATTCTCAATCAACACGTTAAAGCCTATTTAGAGATTTTTTTCGAGTCATTGAATTGACAAATAAGCTAAAAATTTGTCACTTATATTTGAATTGAACGCTTATATGAGAGGAATCCAACAAGCTTATTCTCCCTTAATTATAAGGTGATTAATGCGCTCAGTTTATAAAAAAAATTATTTATGATCAAGAGAGATCAATATAAGTCATCCAATGGGTGATTGAAGGAGTTATTCGTCAAAGGACCAAGTTGCCCCTCCTATTGAGCATATAAATATACTTCATATATTCACTTAAGGAGAAACAAAATATTCAAACTCCAGTGTTGTTCTATATTGAATGCATGATGATAACGTCTGACCATATACTCATCGACCACCGTCGATCATTGCACACTGACCACCACCGACCGTCTCTCTGCTTGTCACAATCAATGAACTGTATTGTGAAATGACATATCCCTGAATAAGGTGCGGCAAAGTATTCTAAAGCACACAAACTACTGTTGTTGACTGCCACCGATCACCCCTTGTCCTCAACTACAACGAACTCTATTGTGGAACAACATGTCCCTAAATACAGTGCAATAAAAGTACTATAAAAATGATGTTACGAGTATTTCACTTACTGAGTAGCAAATAACGCCTTATTGAATATCTGATGATAACTTATATTGACAAATACTTTCAATCGTTGTACCCCGAATATAACGTTTTCTTCATACTCCTGAAGTGTATTGTTCATCGTGCAAAGACAAATGATGTACTTGGTTTAGCGCTCTAACACTTCATTCTCAATTGCGCGTAATGAAATATAACTAGGCCCCGTGTTTTTTTTTCCCAAATGTTTCCATGTAAAAAAAATTATGGTGCATTCTCCTGGTACTTTTCAATCATCAGTATTTGTGTTGGATTTTCATATAACACTAATATGTTTAATTATCACTATACTCATGAATTTTCAGGCACACAACAAAAAATCTATTAGAATAGATTAACATCTTAGACCTCAAAAATTAATTTGAAATTTAGTTCAAATGTTGTTTGAATTTGTTTTTTTTTTCAAATCTCTTTCAATTATTATTTTTTTAACTACTTCAATTATGAAAAATTTTGATAAACATTTCTGAAGACAGAATAATATAACTACTTCAATTATGAAAAAAATTGATAAACATTTCTGAAGACAGAATAATAATTTCATTTAAATGAAACTTCCAGACTAATTTTTATGATAAAAATAAATAATAAAAAAAATTATAATTCATATGAAATAAAAAAAAATTCAATTATAATGTATTGCCATGAAATATGTGTATATTTATTTGGGGGGATTTACATGCATAACACACATAACATTTAGATTTACATATATTCTACCCAAAATTAAGCACATTCTACCCAAAATTAAGCACTGACAAAAAAATCCCCTAAAACATACTTAATTTCTAAAAATAATACTCTGTCATGGCAATGACAAACCTCCAAGCAATCATCATAATTTTCCAATATAACTGCTCCTGAGTTGGTCCGAAATTCATTGATTGCTGGCAAGTGCAACCAATCAGGAGCATACCCATCCGTCTCTCTTGTTGTCTTGAACAAGGGAGACTATTTTTGTGTAAGATCATTAAGAGTTTGCCATTAATATTCAAGACAATATTATAGGTCACAATATTTGGCTTAATGCCCGCCTCCATCATTATTTGGAACACAAAACAACAACATGATAACTCTCGTTGGACACAACAATAGCAACGTGTTACAGTCATAGATCATCTAATAAGTCTCGTTGAGGAACAACATCGAGAGGGCTTGCCATGTCTTTGACGGCGAACCGAAGAAGCAGCTGTCGGCCAAGTTGATGATGAGATTATAATGGAGAAAATTGAGTGTCATATTTGAGGCACGAAGAATGTTTTGGATATCTTTCTTGTACATACTAAATTTTAAATAATAGACATGTAAATCTCAATGTTTCCATTTATATGTATTAATCTTCCCCCCTCAATTACCCCGTTTTTTGAACATAACATTCGAACCCGACATCAAGGATCGGAGAGCGGCGTCAAATTTCGAGCTCAAAATCCATCCAAATTGACCCCGGGAGGGAGGGGGGGGGGATGTCTAATAGAACCCCATTGAAAGGATTTATTAGCGGATTTAATAAATATAACCAAACATAAAAATACAAGTTTGATGAATTTATTAAATTTTAGGTCTAAGATTTGGATTTTACCTTCAATGCATGATAAATTTAAATGTAACAAATATAATAAAAAAAGTTTTTATCATATTCGAATTTATTAAATCCTACTACTGCTAATAATAAATTGTTTATTGCAGCAAAACTAAAAATTATTATATTAGGCACGTGATGCAAATTCCACGCGACAATTTGACCCCAAATCATGTATGTCAATGGACTCAAATTATCACATAACCCCCTATTATTGGACAAAAAAAAATTACGTCAGGACTCCGAACGTAGAGCTACGTTCAAATTGCAATAGTCGTTCTATTATAGGAATATCCCACTGTGTTATAGAAATATTCCATCAGCGTTATTTGTGGAAAATAAAATTTTATTGGAATATTATCTCACATTAATTGATTTGAGGCTGACATAATGAAAATTGAAATAATACAGAGAATATGCCGAATAACACACCAAATCAAGTAACACGGGTAAATATTTCAATAACATTGCAAAGTAATCGAATGACACCACATAATACTCAAATAATATTCATTTTTTATAAATAATACGGATGAAATATTTCTGTAACAATACAGTGATTATTATAATCCTAGGGTATCTTTACATTCTAGTTCATATCCCTGAAGTAACACGCGCTCATTATTGGACACCCATATAAATGTAGATCAGTTGTCCTGAATTGTGGAGATGCACCCCCCATTCATTTTCTATAAATAATGCGGATGAAATATTTCTATAACAATACACTGATTATTGTAATCCTAGGGCTCATTATTGGACACCCATATAAATTTAGATCAGTTGTCCTGAATTGTGGAGATGCACCCCCGAAATCGTTATTAGGCATGGTCACGAACTCGTCGCGAGCAACTCAAAGCAACAAGGAGTAGCCGAAGGGATCACAGAGGAAGCCGCTTTCAGCTGGCGCGTTTTTAAAAAACCTGGGCTAAATCCTCCGTCCTCCGCACTCGAAACCTTCTCGGCCGTTTCCTCCCCGTCGCGCTCCGCCGCTCCGCCCTCTTCTTGAAGGACAACAGAACCGTAGCTATTCAGCTAGTCTAGATCTTTTATTCTTGAAGCTCCCGGGCTAACCTAATTGGGGTTTCAATTTCCTTCGCATTCTTTGGGTTTAGATTTTTGTGTAATCGGGATATGGTATGGGAGGACGAGATCGTTGGGACCGATGTTGCTTCGGCTGGGCTTCACATTAGTGAGTGCATCGGTCGGGATGCTGCCAGTCAGCTTGACCTGGAGGAGGCACTGGAGGTTTCTCGGTATTCCAGTCATCCCTATTCTTCCCACCCTAAAGAGGTACCCCTCTTTCCTTGTTTCTCTTTCTAGCTGTGGGTCGCATGTTAGAAATCTGAGAATAGGGAGTTTGGCCCATGTTACCCGAGTTTGGAGAAATTAGAAATCTGAATGAAAGAAAGATGAGGTTTTCCAACCTTTCTTGAGATGATTTACTATCCTAAGTGCTTGTTTACACACCCTTTTGTTGTCTTCTGGGCTTTAGGAATTGTTCCCCGCTTTTGCAGACCATGAATTGATTCACGAAATAGTGGATTCATCAATTAGGCGGCCTTAACCGGCGTGAATGCCTGATCACTCTGTTAAATGGATGTTGGGAGTTTGACAGTGGAAACGCATGCTTGAGAATGAGTAGGAATATTGGGAGGCCTGTGGGTGATGTTTCTTTTTAAATTACTTATTGATTTGGGCATGTAAATAAATCGAAGCAAAACCTGCATTTTGATTAAGTCGCAGCAAACATAATTTTTCATGCATAACGCGAAGAAAGAATTCCCTTGATCATGCTTCTATAATAATAACGTATTTGATTAGCTGCCTTTTAACTTTAAACTCTCTTTCCATCATCCATGGCTACTCATTGTCTCAATGAACGCTCTTTCCCCAGTGGCCTCCTGTGGCTGAAGTGTTGGATACAAGAGAGTTGCCCGCGGTGCTGATTGACAGGTATAATGCAGCTGGTGGTGAAGGAACAGCTTTGTGTGGAATTTTCCCAGATATACGCCGAGCTTGGGCTTCAGTTGATAACTCTTTATTTCTTTGGCGCTTTGATAAACGGTGAGAATAATGCAAATAGAATTTTTTTCATTAATATTCCTGTCCAGCTACAGTTTGTTTCAGTTTAATTCAGGCTATCTTTGTCTAGCTACCAAAATCTTCATTATATTTAGCGCTGCTTGCCATCACCCTGGCAGCTATCTCTATAATCTGTTCAGTCAGCCGTTTCAGCACCATCACAATGAAAACATTTGAAATGCAGCATATATAACATGTGTTGTGATACAAATAATTGTGATTTGTTGATGTTGGCGTATCCTTGAGACAATGGACTAATAAAATTATTGAGCAATTAAAAAATGCTAATTCCAGAGATAGTTGCGGCAAAAAAAAAAAATAAAGAAGTTCTTTAGGTGGGGGGCAATGATAAGGTCATACTGGTGTGAAAAGCTTAAGGTAGTTTGCAGGGATTTCAAAGCACTTGGATAGAAATAGAAGTCAGTGATTTTCAAAATAGTGGACGTAGGAGAGGAGTTTAGGGATACAAGAGAGTCAGAGTGTAGTGCACCAAGTAGATAAAAGGCTGAAGAATTCAAATAGGATCAGGGGGGTCATGGACTTGGAAATAATGGAAGGAGTATCAAGAATTGAAAAAAATAAAGAGATGAATGGTGGGAGGAAGTGGGAGGTCAATGATGGAATGTCAAAAAGCAAAAAAGGAGGAATGGAGAGCAGTGAGGTGGAGAGGAGGGTAACATGTAGTCAAGTGGCGCCGTGGTAGGAAGTCATGGAGCGCACATTGAGAGACGAGAGCGTATGCGAAGTTTAATGTAGAAGAATATGAGAATCAACAATGAAGAGAAATAAAAGACTTGGGGATAAACATAGAGGGGTTTTTTGGTAGCTCATTTTTAATAGGAGGTACTTTGAATTTAGCATAAATCTAGCCAAACGGCTAAATGTGCCCACATTAAGTCCGATCAGTGGTTAAATTTATACTTAGTCTCATTTTGCCGTAATTCTGGATTTACTAAATCCAATGAATCAATGGATTTAACAAATTCAGGCAAAATGAAGAGGGAGCTCCCATTGTGGCTTATTTCTTTGAGGATATTGAGTAGGATTAAACTTCAACAATACCAAAATTTTTTTGAATTTAATTGCACTAGGATTTGATGAATTTGGATTCATATAATTTACTAAATTCTATTTATATTAAGTCCTGCTTGTAGCCAAACAACCCTAAAGGGTTTTGAGAAAGATAGCTAGATGCTGTAGAGGGAAGTATGATGCTCATCCATTTTGTAGTAGGGATTTAAAAAGCGTAACATGACATTGCATGTTGGTGCGTTCTGCAACACCTAGTGACCACTCTCGTTCAATAAATTATTATCATTTCACTAATTCGCTGCACATATTGTATGATATTCATGTTTATGAAGCCTTACGATCACATAGTTTTGATGGTTTCTATCTCTAAGATATCAAGTACTTGCACTCATTGCTCTTGTTTTATGATCTCATACAATGGTAGCGTTCTCTTAATTGAACCTTTGGAGAGATTTTTTAAATTGATATTTAAACTTGTACTCACCACCGATATCTTATCATTGTTTTTGAAGTTTATCACACATGTAGATGCACACATTTTTTATGCTTCAAGTTAGTACATTTGAACTAGATACATCACAATCTAATTGATATATTGACCTACATATGATGGTGCAAAACATTCTTAAATAAAAATCATAATAATTTCCCATCTTTATTTAATCATGCATGCACAATGAGGTACATTGAACCCAATTTGAGCAAAATATTCACAAATAAAGAAGGCCAAAATATTTGCAAATAAACAAAGCGCCAACTGTCAAGTAATGCGATGCACATTTTTTTCCCAACAATGGCTATGTAATAGCGAGCATTTAAGTTGAACTCAAAGAAATATCATGGCTTTCAAGACATCATATTCATCTTTTACCTTTTTTCCAACTATTTTTGAATTTGGGTAGGAGTCCTCATTTTTAATTCATTCGTATTACTATTTTGTGTAAGTCTTTCTATAGAACTTCTATCCAGGCTGATTTGACCCTAATTATAGGATGTTGTGCGGGAGATAAAACATTAAATTTTGGTTTTATTGCCATGATTGCAATATTTGCAATGCTTATTTGATGTAATGTGATATATTTTTAGGTTTAGAAGTGGATATTTGAGAGAGAAAGAGAGAAACCCCAAAGTAGTAAAGAAGAAGGAAATTTTCCTCAAAGAGAATGCTAAAAGAAAGCCAATCATCTTCAGTTATATCCCATGGCTTAGAATTTATTGTAGCAGTCATATTTTCTTAGAAAATCTAGCTCTAATAATAATTATGAAGTGACATTCATATCCACAACAACAAATGATCATTTACTCGTAGCAAATAACAAATGACATATTCGATGATGACAAACATGACACTTTAAATGATATTGACTAACCTAACATAAAAGATGACTTATGTTAGATACTTGGAACTAGGCATCTTGCATTGCATCACTTATATGCTTTATCATCTATTCCTTATTTTTTATACTAAATTCAAAATACTTAAAAATTGATCAAAGCCATGTATGACTCAATTTTTTTGCAATAATGGAAAAGAAATGCATGCATCTTAATGCACATATTCAAAATTTTAATTTTTTTTTAATATTAAATCTTAATTATAGTTCAAATTTTATTATTTTTAATAAGTCATTGTTGACAATACTTCACTATCATCAATTTGCAATAAGTGTAAAATATGACTCATGTGTCATATGCAATTTTAAATTTTATTCTATATAGCAGTTGAAGTATCAGATGGAATTAGAATTTAGCAACTCATTGAATGTATGATTAATTAAGTTCGAGGTGCAAGCAAGTTAGGTAGGATATTTAGTGATAAATAATGGGCGAGAATGAGGTGCCAAGCATATGTATATATTTATTAAATGATCTATCAAGAATCGAATTATTTCTTCGTAAAGTTTATATGTAATTTGTTAAAAAAAAATACATCCACTCAACCTCTGATTTTATCCTTTTATTGGGCATGCTGTATGATGTATCTTATTTGATGGTATTTTGTTTTATTTGGTAATATATTGTTTGGCTTGAAAATACTTTATTTTTGAGCTTGAATTGTGACTGTTCTCTTATTTTCAGTGAGGCTTTTCATGAATTTTTATAGTTTTATGCTTTTTATTTCTACATTTATTTGATGAAAATTTAATCTTAGAGGGATAATAATTTTAAATCAAATTATTTTAAGACAAAAGTCAATATTTATTTAATAATTTTACCGATTTCTTCTTTGAAACTCCAAATCGATCTTCTACAATATAAGTGGAATCTTGTATTTCTATTTTGCTAAGGTATCTTATTAAGTAGTCATTTTAAAATTATAATTTAAAATAATAAAATTTATGCCTTCTATTCTGTTATGATTATATTTATCTGAAAACTGGTCATCATTGCCCATCCATTTTGTGCATTCTATGACATTTTAATTTATAACTACTTTTGATAATTAGTTATTGCTTGTTCATGTCATCCTTTATGTCTTAAATCAGAACTATTTGTAGTGGAGTACTTTTTCTTCAATTTGTTGGAATATCTAAAATAACATAGTGGATATGTAATATTGATATATTCGAGTTTTGTTTATGTTTATTACCTCCATTGGATTGTGTGAAATTGAAATGATAGCCAGGTTTTGTAATATCTAAATTAACAGAAGCTTGTTTGATGCTTGGATATTCCATTTTATTAGTCCCATAGTACATATGGTATTTTAAATTAAATTATCAATATATTTGGAATGGAATATTTTCTTTTGTTTTTTAATTGATGAGATATTTCCATTCAAGTAGTTATTTTATTTCCAATAGTGTAGGTTGTACTTTTGTTTTCTTAATATCTGCTATATTGTTTCAATGTAGGTTCTCACATTTTTAACATTGTGCGGAACTACCTTTTAACTAGTTTTCACATTTTTAATATTGTGCGGAACTACTTTTAAACTAGTTTTCACATCTGGTCATACTTTTGAACGAGATGTTGCCGATCATACTTAAAATCGCTGTCATTTGTATCTAGGGATGGACAGTGTACTGAATACAGTGGAGAGGAACAATTGATTTGTGCTGTTGGTCTTGCTAGGGTGAAACCGGGTATATTTATTGAAGCAATTCAGTATATTGTGGTGGTGGCAACTCCTGTTGAGGTAGACTATAGCTTCAAAAATTCTTTCTTAAACCTGTTAAACTCTATTGGATGTGATGTTATAATCTTAGGCCTCATGTTGGCTTAATGTTTATGTAATAAGCATGAAACACAAGCACATTTTGAATAGTGTGTTGATGTAATCCTCATGCCGCCACTCCTATAAATATCTTACGCAAATTTCTGCTGTATCGGTACAGGCTCTTTCGTAAACTTTAAGCATTCATCTTCATCATCCTTAATTTTTGGCACCAATCGACGAGCTTCTTTTATTTAAAGTAGAACAATATTATGATGAATGCAGATATTTGCCTTTAAAAGTTAAAGTTCTGATCTATGTAAGCAAATGTTTCATTGTGGATTCATGGTTTCCTTTGTATTTGTTATAAGAACAGAAAAAATCCAAACTATGACTAAATACTTGAATGGGTGTGTTATTGATCATGCATATATATAAGATTTTAATTTTATGATTTATTACTTCCTAGTTTTCTCCATCGATACTTCCCTTCCTAACATTTTGATAGATTTTTGTGTTCCAAATTAACAGCTAAAGGATTAGACTTTTGTTATATCATTTGATTGGTAAGGATTATTTTTATAGACTTTTGTTATATCATTTGATTGATAAGATTGCTTATATATAGGCAAATAGAGCCAATACAAAACCTGAAATAAAGAGGAATATATCATCAATTGTAATGATATGAAAACTTAAATAGAAATATACCAAGCTATATAGTACTTTCCTATAATACTATTTCTTTTCTCATATTTTTAAAAGCTTTATCTCAAGTTGAAGCATATACTCAATTAGCTCTAGCTTATTACATTGCTCCAAAAATTAAAATGGATCAAAGTCTCAATAAAAGTTTATGGTAGTTGTTTTGAGTTGGGAACATGGGTTTTTTTAATCTTTTTTAATAGTATTGCATATCAAATAATAGTCAATTTTTATGTGTTTTGTTTTATGTCATGAAACACAAGTTCATTAGCAATGTTAATAGTTTATAACCCTATTTTGAGTAATTAGATTAGTGATTTTTTCTAGTTGGATCTTAAGCCATTTTATCTCACATTTAATGTGTCATGGTTTTGTATCACACCTTAATGCTTGATCTGGCCATTATTGTTTGTTACTATCTCTTCCATGCACCCAAATTATCTTTATAAAATATAGTTACCAAATATGGATTTCTTATCATCAATGAACATAGCATAGTCAACGTCAAAGAAGATTCCATATTAAGATGTCTATTTTTTTGTTTATATGAGAAATGATGGCTTTGGAGGCTATGTTTTCTTCTAGTAACATGCCTAATTCTTAGGAAACATCAAGTCAGACCTTGAAAAGCCATAGATCTCACTTAAAGAATTCCTAAACCTTGAAATTATTGAGATTGTGATCAAGCTTTATATGAAAGCATATATTCTAGCTTGAGGAGAAGACAACAATAAGAGTGCATGTTAATCTAGATTTTTACTCAAATTTTAATCTTATTAAACATCAAGAATTTGCTTCTAGTCAATAAAATGGAAATTTAGAAAGACCTCTCAATATTGTTACTATTATAGTCAAATTCAAGAAGAGGGTGGAAATTATAAGTGACATGTTTCAAACCTTTTGAAGTGGACAATTCTTTAACTAATGAAAAAGTCACTCTACACTTGGCTACCGTGTTCTCACCATGGCCCCTCCAAACGAGAGAAGCGACAGAGCATCCTAATTTAAGAGAAAAAAAATTGTTATTAATTTTAAAGAAAATTTGACTCTATTGAAGCTTGATATGAAGTTTTAATTATAGATGTATGAAAAAATAGTTGATGCCATAATTTGGATGGTTTGTTTGAATAATTAAAGATGTTGCTCTTACTTTGTTGGTGTGACTATGCATTAAAATTTGACTTTACTTAACTCAAGCTTTCCGATCATTCAACAACGTGGTGGGATACCGAATTTAATATCTTTTTTATGTTGGGTATGGCGTGGCCCCGATTCAATTAACTGTAAAGATTTAGTTTGACCTGGATTTAATGAAAACCACTCAGATTGGTATTCGAGGATATTAACCATTTACTTGCTTCCTAAGATTTTGTTGTTTGCACATTTTTTTGGATAACGAAAGTGCGGGAGTTTTTTGCATGGATGCGGGAAACAAGCCAGCAAGCTGAACTGGCTGGCATAAGGGAGCCGGTCCAGACCCTGCTTGAGGCGACCGGTTCAGGATGCGACAGAGTTAAGCGGGATTTACTTCCTTTCCCGCGTCCCGCTCGATCGAGTGGCATTGCCGCTGACCCTCCCTTTATTCTTCCTTTTCCGTGTTTTATTTGGGAGAGTCTTTATATTGCTGCTTTGTTGCATTAGGGTTAGTTTTTGCTATGTTCTACTTTTATTTATTTTGTTAGAGGGTTGTATCTGAGGAGGAAGTGGTGCTCCGACTGTTCCCTCCTCGAAGACCGTGTTTTATCATTCCTTTTTACCATTCCCACTATCCCCCCCGAGATGCTCCAACTGCTGCCGGCCTCCCCATCCTTCATCCCCACACCCAGCCACCCTTCGCCTAACGGTTTACTCTTGTTGTTCAGCTACCCGGACGCCACCCCAGCATTCAACTACTCTGTCACTACAGTCCAACATTGCTGTCTCCCTCCACGACCTTCATCCCACCCCTGACCACCGCCGATCTGCAGCATAACCTGCTGCCCAACCATCCATCATTTCTGTCCCTGCAGCTCTACACCTTCCCCTTGCTGCCGCCACCCCTACCAACCATCCCGACCCACCTAGCCAACCTCCATCGCCCTTTGAATACATCTTAGGGTTTTCTACTTGTGTCGTTCATGTTTTGTGATGTTGTTTTCTGTTGTGTGGTGTTGTAGCACTCTTTCTACATAAATAAAAGTTTATTTTTGCATTTTTCGTTGAATTTCCTATTAGTTTCGGTATCAACAGGTCTAGTCCTTTGACCTTTCAACTAACTCAATGAAATGGGAGATCTCTTACTTTATGCTCTTATAAATACACCCACATTAGTCAAGAGGAAGATGCCTTCTAGTTCTCGGATATTTAAACTATAGTATCCCACAAGTAAAGGTTAAACCACCTGAGGCGGGCATACCTCCTGCACTAACACAAGCCATCTAAAGGTGGAAGTGAGATCGCGTCCCTCACACGGGAGTTCCCAAAAATGTAAGCAACGACTTGACTAGTTCGTCTGGACAGAACCAATCTTTGTCCCTTTTGAGGAGTTGGCCGGTCCTCTTGGTCCGCTTTTAGGTATCATATTATTATTTATTCGTTGTCCCAAGAGTCAGGGTTTAGGTTTTTCATGAGTTTGTTCGGGACAACCATTGACATCCCTTATCTCTCTTCGAGGGTTGTATCCAAGGGTTCGGACGGTGCTCCTACTATATTTTGTTCCCGATGTGGTGATTATTTCTCTATACCCTTTTGCATCCCCCCCCCACACATTGCTCCCGGCCTCCCCTTCCTTGTTGCAGCCAATTACAATTATATTTAAAAAAAGTCATACACAATCCTAATTTGACAGCATAAAAAGGAAGTAATTTACTCATTTTAAAAGCCATTCCAGCAAAGTCTAAACTAAAAAAATAGTCATTTTTCTTCATAATTTAAAGTACCGAAATTTTTTTTGAAGAAAGTTAAAAAATGGATAATTTTTTAAAAGTTGATGGCATTTCGTAAAATTTAGATTGCGCCTTTTTTCTTGGTTACCTTCGTTGGCAGTTGGCTTTGATGGTCCAGCAGGTTGTTTTGCTTTTGATTTAAATCGACATGATCAATTGTGATTGATCAGGTGATGCTTACCATGCTCACAATTTAATGTCCTTAATAGATTGCCATATAATGAGTATCCTAAATCTTCATTGGCATCAATTCCTTTTAAATCAAGCTGGACAATTATAATGTGTGTGGACTGTATTTAGTATTTACAATCTGCTTATTCATCAATATGGTCCTTTCTATTGATAAAATTCTAAATTTGCATAAGCATTACTGGAATTGTTGAAGCAAATTACAATTATATTTCAAAATAAATCGTACCCAATCCTAATTTGAAAGCATAAAAGGGAAATAATTTACTCGTTTTAAAAGCCATTCCAGCAAAGTCTAAACTAAAAAAATGGTCAATTTTCTTTCGGATTTTAAAATACCCAATTTTTTTGGAGAAAGTTAAAATATGGATAAAATTTTAAAAGTTGATGACATTCTGTAAAATTAAGATTGCGCCTTTTTTCTTGGATACCTTTGTTGGCAATCGGCTTTGATGGTCTAGCAGGTTGTTTTGCTTTTGATGTAAATCGACATGATCCAATGTGATTGATCAGTTGATGCTTACCGTACTCACAATTTAATTTCCTTAATTGTTTTTCATGTAATGAGCATCCCAAATATCCGTTGGAGCGAATTCCACTTTCAATGCTATTTCTATTGTCATTGTTGTGCCATTTCACAAGTGCATCAATAAGCATACCAAAACTATACCTGCCCACCACTTATGTTTGTAGGCGTACTAAAGCATGAATGCCTTCTTATAGACAAAATGTGATGAGATATAGTGGCAGCCAACTGAAGATTCAGACACATGCCTATGTATCTAACATTTTGTACTATTAAGCTTTCAAAGAGGTTGATTTTTTTATATGGCTGAAGTAATTTAATACATCACAAGAGATAACTTTTGCTTTGGAAAATATGTAAATCGTTTCCTTTGTGCTTCATGATGCCATTAACCATCCACTCACAAGGCACCCCTATGTGATATATTTTGAAATAGGCCAAGGTTCATCTAGAATCCATGCCCATATAGTGTTATCAAAATGTACGTGATTTTGAACCTATGAGCTGTTGCGGACTATGCTATGTACATCGGCTTAGAAAACTGTGCTTTGCTTTTTCTCCTTTCGATTATTGAGCCTCAGAGCCACTTGTTCTATCTGGTAAGGCAATGCTTTCTATGAATCTTGACTCGCTGCTTCAATGGGCACCTTGGTATGCTTAACACGCTTTATCTATCAAAGATTGCCTCATAGGAGGGAACCTATGGCTTTTAATGAGGCAACCTGCATTCACAACAAAAGCTTCATACATCTTTTGAGTCCTTGTTCACCTCAACCCCTTTGGTTGCCAATCGGACTTAATACCTGGATTTCATAACTTTTGGATGCCAATCAGATTGCTGCCATTTTGTGCAATCGCAAGGAAACTAATATTTTCATATTGCCTGCTAAAAATTTCAGTTATTTTCTCCGGAACCCTTGTGAAGGCTTTCCAAATGGACTTGATAAGCCAAACCTAAATAGTTGAATAGGGATTATGATGTGATTTTAGCCGTTTGCTGGCTTTTAATGATCAAAAAATATAGTTAACTATTAGATTTACTTCCCATGGTGTTGGTCACCCTCTCTTTCATCATAGATCTCAGATCTTAGCCTTCAGTTTGTTATGTTGTTTTGCACCTGGACGTTTTTAAGCTACCATACATTAACTGCAGGAATAGATCATAAAGAATAGCTCTTATAAAGGCATCCACAGAAAGTGTCGTGCTACAAAATGCTTTGTGGTATTCCCATGCTCCACTCCCCTGGTGTGCATTGATTATCACATGTGTGATAATTTTGTTTGATTTTTAGGTTAAACTGATATCTGCATTTACTTTAGGTTGTGATTTCATATTTTCTTTCTTCTAATGAGTTTCTATTTTTAAGATGATTTTAAACCTTATAGGGTAATGAAGTATGGTTCTTTGGTTGTTTTTTTTTTCCAGCTTTCATTTTCCTTCTTGTTTTTCTTTTTAAAAAAAATTATAGTTTTTTAATAGACATGCTTGTTTTTATTTATGCAAAAACAAGTGAAAAGCAAGTCATAAAAGCCTGAAACACTACCAGGCTATCAACATACTTCCTAGTATTTCCCTTCAGTATTTGAAAGCTAAAATAAAAATTAGGATTAATTACCCCTATCTTATAATATTTATTATATATATATGTTAGAGAAGCTGCTGCTTTTCCTTTGATAGTTTGATTTTTTTTTTTTTTAAACGGGACCTTGCTATTGGTGACCATTTTTCCTGTTGCTAGTTACTTCTTATTGGAGTGTGCTGTGCTGCTAGTGCTGATGGTACAGATCCATTTTATGAAATTTTTCTGCAACCATTACCTGAGTATACAATGCCCTCAGATGGTGTCACTATGACATGTGTTGCCTGCACGGATAAGGGTCAGATTTTTGTCTCCGGTCGTGATGGACATATTTATGAGATTCAGTACACAACTGGCTCAGGATGGCGCAAGCCTTGTCATAAGATCTGCCTGACAAGTGGTTTTGGTACTGTTGTTTCAAGGTAGCTGGCAGACAATGTTATTTTACATTTATGCTATAAGCTGTTTTGCACTATTTATTGACGTTATAATATCAGGATTACACATGCAGATGGATTTTACCAAATGTTCTTAAGTTTGGAGCCGTGGACCCAATTGTAGACATGGTTATTGACAACGAAAGACATGTTATTTATGCACGGACAGAGGCCATGAAACTACAGGTCTTTGATTTGGGAGTAGGTGGTAGTGGCCCCCTTAAAAGAGTTGCTGAAGAGAGAAATTTAATTGATCCACGGGATTCACAGCATAGAGGTAGGCGGCCTGGATCAATATCAATTTCTCAGGCTGCTAAGCCATCAATAGTTTCTATTGCACCTTTGTCCACTGTGGAATCAAAATGGTTGCATATGGTAGCGGTTCTATCGGATGGGAGAAGGCTATACATTTCTACTTCACCTTCCAGTGTTAGTAATGCTTCTGCTAGTTTAACAAGTCTTGGTAATGCTGTTCAGCGACCATCATGCTTAAAGGTTTTAGCAACAAGGCCTTCACCACCCTTAGGAGTTGGTGGCGGGCTTACCTTTGGAGCTATATCTGCTGCCAATAGAACCCAAACTGAGGATATGGCCTTGAAGGTTGAAACAGCTTTTTATTCAGCAGGCATGCTTGTTTTTTCAGATTCTTCAACTCCAGCTGTATCTTCTCTTCTGATTGTGAATCGTGATCCCACTACTCATTTATCTCACCCTAGTAACTTTGGAATTTCTTCAAGAAGTCCTCGTGCATTGCGTGAGCTAGTTTCTTCCTTCCCTGTGGAGGGTCGAATGCTGTGTGTTGCTGATGTTTTGCCTCTGCCAGATACTGCAGCTACTGTGCATTCATTGTACTCTGACTTGGATGAGTTTGGTGGATTAATGGAATCACGTGAAAAGGCTTCTGCTAGACTGTGGGCTAGAGGAGACCTTCCAACCCAACACATTCTACCAAGGAGAAAAATCATTGTTTTTAGCACCATGGGTTTGATGGAGATTGTTTTTAACAGGCCTGTGGATATTTTGAGATTACTTTTCGAGTCTAATGCGCCAAGATTGCAAATAGAAGAGTTTTTCAATAGGTTTGGTGCTGGAGAGGCTGCTGCAATGTGTTTGATGTTGGCAGCGAAGCTAATTTCCGATGAAGAAACTATAATAAGCAATTCTGTTGCTGAGAGGGCAGCTGAAACATTTGAAGATCCTGCCATTGTTGGCATGCCACAGCTTGAAAGTATTGCTGCGATGTCAAGTGTCAGGGCCCCAACTGGAGGCTTTAGCATGGGACAGGTGGTACCGGAGGCAGAGCCTCTTTTTTCTGGTGCTCATGAAGGTCTTTGTTTATGTGCATCCAGGCTGCTCTTTCCAGTGTGGGAACTACCTGTTTTGATTGTTCAACGAGAGAATGGATCTGATAGGCTGTTTGAAGATGGGGCCATTTGTTGCAGACTCCCTAGTAGTGCAATGCAGGTTTTAGAAAGCAAGATTCGCTCACTGGAACAATTCATACGGTCCAGACGAAATAAAAGAAGGGGACTGTATGGTTCTGTTGCTGGTAGAGGTGATTTTTCTGGTTCAATTCTATATTCAACTAGTCAAAATGAAGGGAGGAACCTTTTTGGTTTATCCTCTGTTGGTACTGGTTCCGGAGATGCTGCTTCAAATAAAAGGCAGAGACTTCTTTATACTAGTGCTGAGCTGGCTGCAATGGAGGTGAACAAATGTTTTAAGACTTATATGTAATCAATCTAAATTCTCTTCTAACCCTTTTAATTTTCAAATAGGTGAGGGCGATGGAATGTCTTAGAAGACTTCTTCGGAGATCCAGTGAAGCACTTTTCTTGCTACAAATTATCCACCAGCATCATGTGGCACGTTTGGTTCACGCTTTTGATAGCAATGTTCGTAAAAAATTAGTTCATTTGACATTCAATCAATTAGTTTGTTCAGAGGATGGTGACCAACTCGCCATGCAACTAATTTCTGGTTTGATGGAGGTATACTTTAGCCTCTCATGCATGCATGAGATATTTTACTAATATCTGGATTTTTCATCAACGAAGCTTTTCTGTTTTTCCCCCTCACAAGTAGTTAACATGTCATTCATTCCATATTTATGATTTTTTCTTATTTTTTTCTAAATTTTGCAATCTGCTCATCAATTTCCTTTTATTGCTGCAGTATTATACTGGCAATGATTACAGTGGTACAGTAGATGAGATTAGTGCCAAGCTAAGGGATGGTTGTCCAAGCTACTTCAACGAATCTGACTATAAATATTTCCTTGCGGTTGAATGTCTTGAAAGAGCGGCTATGACACTCAAAGCTGATGAGAGAGAGAATCTTGCAAGAGCTGCTTTTAATCATCTAACCAAAGTTCCAGAATCTGTAGATCTAAGAGCCGTATGTAAACGATTTGAAGACCTAAGGTAGGGGGTGACATCTGTAATGTTTGTTTTGCTGCCATCCTGCTCTTATCCAGAAATGCTAACATTCCCTTATATGCATGGTTTAGATTTTACGAAGCTGTGGTTCGCTTACCATTGCAGAAAGCTCAAGCTCTTGATCCCCAAGGTGATGCTTTCAATGTTAAAATTGATCCCAACCGGCGTGATAATTCACTTGCTCAACGACGACAATGCTATGAAATAGTAATGAATTCCCTTCGTTCTCTGAAAGGCGATGTTGGCAAAGTTTCTGGTTCAGGAACTATCCTTGATCAGGCATCTCGTGACAAATTTATTCAGCAGATCATTCAGCTTAGTGTTCAGTGGCCTGATACAGCTTTTCATGAATATCTTTATCGAACGTTAATTGAACTGGGCCTTGAAAACGAGTTGCTGGAATACGGGGGCTCTGATTTGGTTTCATTTTTGCAGAGTGCCGGAAGGAAACCGCTGCAAGAGGTTTGTTCTCCCCTATTGCTAATGAATGTTTAAAATGGATTTTGAGCTGCAAGGTTGTGGTTTGCAAATCCTTATGTAGAGTGAAACTTGAATTGATTGTATGAAGGCTCGTAACATAAACTGGCTGCATTGAGAGCAACATGCATATAACACATTAATGAATTTAATGCATTCCTCACAAAAAAATATTGCTATGGTCTAAGCAATATTTGAATATTCTGAATATAATACAACTTTTTTTTACTATATTTGAATTTTTTGCAGTGCAAGCTTAGCTTTCTCGTTTTATATCTAGATCAATGTTATTGCACTGAACGAGTCAGTAAGACTTCCTTCGGGAATGTTTTTTTTTTACCTAGCTCGCTTTCCAAAAACTTGGCATATTTAAATTTTTGTTTGCGCAGGAAATGAACAAAAAGAGTTACGATGTATATGCTTCTTTTCCATGGCCTAAATTTTGTGACCGATGCTCTTTGAGAGCAGATCATGCATCTCTGTAAGAGTAACAATGATTTAATTTCCTACATTACCTACATCAACATCATAACGCCTATAATTAAGTTAGCCTTCTCTTTTGTTTAATGTTTCTTGATTTATGCGGATAAAGTGGACTCCACATACATCTTGGTGGAACTGTTTTCTTGAATATTATAATAATTCCACATTCATATATTTCCAATGTTTGCATGCAGGTATTCTCTATCGCCAGTACTTTTCAGGGAATCTCGGTTGAAAATAGTTGAAACATATCTTTTGCTTCTTGTCATGCTACCTTTTTTTTATTCAATTATATTATGCAGGAGCACTGAACATAGTTCTGCATGGCTCCTTTTTTGTATGCATCCTGTTGTGACGTTTCCCTGGAAATAGCATTATTTCTTACTTTAAAATTTATTTTTCTCCCAATTCCTCTCTATTTAGGTTCAAACTGCCGCTGCACTAACACCGATTTCTGCTACAAAAGACACGGAGATGCTTATTCCTTCTAGTCAAACCAAATATCTTGACCTTCTTGCAAGATACTATGTTATGAAGCGTCAGCATTTACTCGCGGCTCATGTACTCTACAGATTGGCAGAAAGACAATGTAATGATGCTGCTGAGGCTCCTACATTGGATCAGAGGTTTGCTTGCTGTTCCTATTTTATATGCATCACGATATTCTTTCGTTAACATAATTTGGTAAATTCTTTATTCATTGAATTTAAATTACATTTTTTTGATAAAACCCAGGCGGCAGTATTTGAGCAATGCAGTTCTGCAGGCTAAAAGTGCAACTAGCATTAATGGACTATCATCTTCAACCATGAATTCCATGGATAATGGTTTGTTGGACTTGCTTGAAGCAAAACTGGCTGTTCTTCGATTTCAATTGAGAGTAAAGGAGGAATTGGAATCTGTTGCATTTAAACTAGAAGGACATCAGGTGACTGATGAATCACATCCAAATGACCCATTTCCAGGAAGAAATCTGGTTTATGATGCCAATACTGCAAAGAATGCTAGAGATAAGGCTAAGGAGCTGGAATTGAATGTGAAGAGCATCACCCAGTTATACAATGATTACGCTGTACCCTTTCAACTTTGGGAGGTGAGGACTTCAAATATTTTAAAATATACAGATAAAGCTTAAGAACATCAGCTCATTTTTTGTATTTTGTACAGTATGGGCCATATGGTTTTAATTGCACAATTTAGGCATTGCACTGTTTAATTTGTGCTTCTGCATCTAATTTGTGTTGTTTTGATATAGTTAATATTGGTATGCTAGTCCTAGATTTGGTTGTTTTGGAGCATTCTTATTTTATGGTTATCAATGCCTGTTATTTGTCTGCATACTCTCTGTTTACTGTTGCTTGGTCATTAAAGGCTATTACAGTTTGTATGGCATGAGTGCATGTGCATTCTTGTCTTCAATAGTCTTCTTTAAAACATTGATTTGTATGAAGAAAAATGCTTTGAAATTGCAGCATTATCTTAAATTAAACTGTAGAATTTTGTATCTTAGTAATCTATGAATTTGGAATGTCTGTGTCAAATTTTGATAGAGTTGCTTTTTTTTAATCCATTTCTATCGAGATTATATCATGTGTTAATCATATATCCGATTGTGATTTTTCAATTTTGAACTTTATGATGGAAAGATTGATTAGGAGTCTATGCTTGGATATTGGAAAATGAAATAGAGAAACTGCGTCTTTATACCTGTTTGGCATTGTGGATATATCTTCCTCATTTGTATAGGGGCAATATGGTCTAGCTTAGTTCGGTCTGATTCTTGTTCAATCCATGTAAGGGTTGTTTCGCCATTTTTGCTTGAAGTATTATAAAGCATCTATATAAGAAATTTTGTGGTGAGCATTTTAAAAAATAGGAAGGTTGAGATTAATTTGATTTATGGAATAGAGAAATATATATTAATATGACCAATGTGGAATTGTAAGAGAATGTGTAGACATAGTTCTACGTGATTCAAGAAAGTTTACTTAGCCAGATTCAAAGAAGAATGATTGGAAATTGTGTAAATTGGAGTTAACGTGCTATGTAGCACTTTTGCAATGAATGGTAGAGGAGGATTCATAGAGGCAATCCCAAATAATTGGGATAAAGCTAATGAAGATGATGGTAATTAAATTTAATGGATTTGGTACAAAATGCAGCTCTTGATATGAATGAATGGAGAAAGTTTTATCAAATGAACAATATTGATGAAATGATAATGATGTTGCCATTATCATAAACTCCTTTTGAAACTGAACAATTTGACTGAAACCAAGCATTTTAAGCTGGAGTTACTAGCATGCTCCATCCCTATCATCAGTGTGGTTGGGATTATGCAGGAGTTTCCAGAATGCTTGCCCATTCTATCCCTTACAGCACATTTACTGTTGTGCACATTTATCAGTTTTGTTGCACTTTAATTCAGAGCAGTTACACTCTCAGTATGGATTGCAAAATTTTTAACATAAATTTATAGATGTTCACTGCAATATTTTTCAGATGGTTATTGTCCTAACAAAGGACATATCGTTGATTGTTTGATGCGTTGCTGAACAATGATGCTTTGCTAAGAACTTTTGTCACATTGATAATCCAACCAAGCTCAATATTTTTTCAGAGAATGCTATAATTCCGAACCTGAGATCCAGTGAATGATGAACCCCCCATCCATCAAGAATGAATGGAAAAGGTATATTAAAGCCAAAAAAGGGTATTGATGGTTATTATCAAGTGATATATTTGATGAGCGAAAAAAATGATATTTTTTGCCATTTAGATGCAATGAGGTAAGTCCCCTCCACAGAAAATGGAAACCAAAAGTCATATTGAGAAGCGACGAAATCATTCTTATTCCCAACAAAGGTAAATAGACCACTGAAGTTAGTGGTTCAGAAGTACATATATTATTGTATGGAGCAATAAACATTCAGTTTTATTAATGCAAGAACTAGACAACAATAGAAGGAGACATTGTTTCTTTCAATCCCCTCTCTCATTCTTTAGCTTTGAGATTCCCTTGGGTCCCTTGTTTGTATAAAAACTCTCATCTCTAGGTACGAACCCTTCAAATCTTAATTGATCTTTATTCTCTCTGAATCCATCTACGATGTCCTTTTATATAGACAATGAATGTTGGTTATAATTGGTACATAGGAAATATAGACTATTTTTTGTGGCGACGGTAGTAAGTGCGGCTTTGATTTTATGTATTGCCGATAATAATAAGGCATTATAATTGTTTAACAATAATCTTTTTAGTATTGATGTCGATTCGTTCTTGGGAATTTTTGGCATTCTTTTTCTCAACATCAACTTCATAGATTTCTTACACCTTTCATTTTGGTGACACCATTCTAGGGTATCTAAAAGTTTTATGAGGATCGAAATAAATTTTGAGGATGGTTGTCCAAGTGTTTGGAGGCCAAATATGAGGAAGAGCGACAAGGATTGGGGGCGAAAAAAATGGGTTTTGGCTATTGAATGCTAGTATGTGGCCGGTGGCTAGTGCTGCGATGTATTAATATTGGAAGGTTGTACATCCTATTCTCTTATAACTATTTGAATAGGAGAAATTTAGGAAAAAATCAATCTTTATTGTTGTAAAGTCCAAGGAAAATTCATAATCAAGTTCTAAGCGACATATTTGTGCTAATATATAAATTAAACCCTAATTTTAATATTAAATAAAACAAATAAAGGCCCAATTAGTTCCATCCAGTCCTTGGAAGACATTATGAGTGACTCGGCTATGAAACACCGAACCATGGCCTTGTTCGGCCCTTTACACACATGTCTGAGATTGACTCGTGATACCCCCATCATTTTCCTAGGATTGAGTGGCTTCATCTTCTCTATTAGAAAAATCTTGCTCCTCATAGTATGTTAACAGATCCATGTCATTGAAGGTAGCATAAATATTATATTCCGACAACAAATCAATTTGCCATGCAGTCAGTCATCAATCATTTTAAAGCCTGCATTAGAGTTTTATGCCTTTCGTTTGAGTAGATTTAAAACCGAATACATAGAATGTAATTTTATTAGTAGTAGATCTAGTGGCAATATGTGATCAGATTATTAAAAAGAGTGAACGTCTTAGATATTTTTGGTCTATTGTTCAAAGTGATTGTGATATAGATGAGGTGTTATTAGTAGAATTCAAGTTGGATGGTTAAAGTGAAGGAATGCATTGGGCCTATTGTGTGATAGAAAGTACCACTTAAACTTGATGCGTGGGGCTCTTTGAGGGATGAATTGACTGGAAATAGAGGACCGTTTCATCCTAGTAGCGTATGGTCCGACCGACTCCTATTTGGGGGCTAGGGTTGCCGCCCAAGGGGAGGGGCCTTGCCCTGCTAGCTATCTATTATATGCATTCATTATTTTCTATTTTAAGTTTAGTTTTTGCAGTGTTTTCTATTAGGACATTTGGGACAACCCTATTTTCCCTTCTAGGGCTCAATCTGACAGCGAGAAGGTGCTCCAGTTGTAAATTATTCCGAGTTGGTGTGTATCTTTCCCTTTTATGTTTGCAACTGCTACTTTGACATGCCATTTGTTGCCTTTCCGCCCTCCTTCCCAGCTTTTCCTGTCGTAACCTACCCACATCAGCGCAACCCTCGTCCTGTCACCCTGTTACCCTGTCACCCTCCCTATCGCTGCCTCCACACATTAGCTCAGTCTCCATCTTGTCACCCTTCCCCTGTAGCCCTCCCTACCACTGTCTCCACACAACCGGTCCCCATCCTGCCAGCCTTCCGTTACGGTCCTCCCTGTCGTAATCTCCACACAGTAGCCCACCCCTCATCGCGTCAGCCTTTTCCTTACATCCCTCCTTGCTGGAGCCTCCCATAGCATACCTCACCACATTGACCCCACCTTTTTAACCACCTGACTATCACCACATTATCACATCCAGCCTTTTCTCTCCCTCAACTACCCAACTTCACTCCCTCAACATGCAGTTCGCCACCGTTGTCCTATCTCTGAGGGTGTCTTATATTTGTGTTGTTAATTTTTGTAGGTTTTGAGAATTTAGTGGAATACTTTATTGACACGAAAGTGGGGTATAAATACAACTTAAATGAATTCTAAAATAGGAAATATGTAACACATATAACTCCAAGATTACAATTAATAAATTCTTAATAATTTCCCAGAGATAAACAGAAAGACATTAAACCTATATCTCCAAGATTATAATTAATCAATTCTTAATAACTTCCAAGAGATAAAAGGAAAGACATAAAATAAGAAATAACAGGAAATGGAATAAATCAATACTAATAACTTTTAACACTCCCCCTCAAGTTGAAACATAGTTAATCATATTCAACTTAGATTTGAAATCATCAAACAATGAGCGGGGAAGATACTGTGTGGGTAGAACATGAAGTCTTTATACCCAAGAGCATTTAGGGATACTTCTAGTTGACCGCAATTGTCTTTGACGACAGTTCTTGAAGTTTTTGTATGTAGGTGGAAGGCTGCTCTAGGTAATTTTGTAGGTAAGTTTGTTGATTGTAGACAACATATAGGGAAATATATGGAAAGAAACAGAGCATGACCTGCAAGGAAAATGTTTCATAGGACGGCTCGTTGCACCAAAAAGCTCCAGAGGAGCGCCCGTTGTAGAAAAAAAGCTCCAAAAGAGGACCCGCTGTAGGAAAAAAGCTCTATAGGAGGACCCATTGTAGGAAAAAAGATCTAAAGGAGGGCTTGTTGTAGGAAAAAAGCTCTGGAAGAGGCTCACTATAGGTAAAAGCTCTGGAGGAGGGCTAGCTACAGGGGAAAAACTCCGTAGGAGGGCTTACTACAAAGAAAAAACTCTAGAGGGTTTGCTGCAGGAAAAAAATTTAGAGGGTCTATTGTTGGAAAAAATTTCAGAAAAGGGCCTGTTGCTGGAATAAGAGGGCCAATTGAAGGAAAAAAGCTTCGGAGGAGGGTCTGCTGCCGAGAAAAGCTCTAGAGGGTCAGCTGCAGGAAAAAGTTCTGAAGAAGGGTCTGCTGCATGAAAAAGCTTTGGAGGAGGGCCAACTATAGGAAAAACTCGGGAGGGTCAGCTGTAAGGAAAAAAAAAAACTACGGTGG